CTGTATTGATTAGAAGTACAAAAGCTGTCCACTGGCCCCTATGATCTTACTGTTCCAGCATGGGCAGCAGCCGGGCTGGTGGAAAGGCCACTGACCTGTGGTCAGATGGGAGTAGATCTGAGCAGCAGATTCAAGATGTAGGCCCTCCCCTCAGGACAAGCCCATTCCCAGCATTATGATAAAGGGAAATTGACATGAGCTCCAGGGCTTATGAAATCAGAGGCTTTAAGGCACCCCAAAGTTACTGCTGCTGATGGGAGTGGGAGAAGTGGGTCACATCTGGAGGTGGTGGGTATCTGGGCAATGTTTACCCCTACCTGGGTACCCAAACCCCAGCACTTGGCTGTATTGGACCAGCTAAGCAGAAACTTGGCCTTGGCCTGATAGCCAATGAGTTCCGATCTCTGACTGATGCTCAGCTGCTCTGAAAACTTGGAGGTGCATAGAAATGTAATGGATGCCTTTTATTATTCACAGCTGGTTGCATCTTACATGCCAGCTACTGAATTTTGCGTCATTGGTTGAAGAACATGGGGGACTCGTGAACAGGTGGCTTGCCTGCCTGCTTTTTTTTTTTTACTTTCTTTTTACATGAACATCTAATCAGCTCCAACTTGTGGGACCTGTGCTAGGGGATGGGGACATCACAATGAAGCAGACATAATCACGTGATCCATGCCCTCAAACCGCTCCCAGACTAGTGGGGAAGGCGGGCAACTACAGATACCTCCATTGTTGTGGGCTAAATGCTGTCAGGAAGGCTTGTGAGGGCAGAGAGGAGGGACAGCTAACCGCAGCACGGCGTAGGCGGCTGCTCAGCCAAGGGGGCCTGGAACAATGGTCTACTGGTGGCTGCCCTGACCCGATGAGATTGTGAAATGGATTTAGTGCCTAGCAACCAGCATTTTACAACATCAAACAGAAGAGGAGATGACAGAGTATAGTACATGTGCAGACATACCCACACACATACGCTTGCGTACAAACGGGTCATGGCGTAAGACATTCCTTTCTGAGGGGTACAGGGGACAAAGGTGCCACCTACCGTGAGGGCAGAAGCCCGGCTCTGTGGGAGTTGTGCCAAGACTGTCCCAGGAGCAGAAGCATCCTTCAGATTGAGAGGTTCACAACCAACTAACAAGGTGGGCCCCTGCTGCCCCAGCTAAGGACTAAGCATTTTCGTAAGGCCGCTTCCACACAGTGTGCCAGTAAGTGGGTAAGCAGCCTTAGCGGGCAGCCTGAGGCAGGGCTGAAGAAACCGCTGGGAGGCAGGAAAGGCAGTGTGGGGAGCCCCGGAGATGGTGTCCCAGCCCTTAACCTCCTGCAAGTGTCCTTGGACGAGGCCGGTGGCTAGCACTCCCTAACAGTGGTGACCCCCGCTGCTGTGTTAACTCTGGGCTGACCTCAGCCCCACCTGGGGTCCTGTGGTGCCGGCAGCCAGCGCCTGCAGGCTGCCACAGGAAACACTGTTTATGTGGGGCATGAAGAGCTCTGGGGAAGGCCAAGACGGGCAGAGGCGTGGCCCGGCCTGGCACTGAGGGGAGGTGAGTCAGGCCTAATGACTAGGTGGTCACAAGCAGAGACCCTCTTTGTGGTTTTTTCCAGAATACTCCAAACTTAATCTGTCCTATAATATCAGGCCCAAAATACCCCCTTGGCGACCTCTCTTTTCCATCATAGACTCTGGAAGTTGGAAGAACCACTAGAAATTATGTAGTTCAACTCCTTCATTTTACATCTGAGAAAGGGGCCCAGAAAGGGAAGGCACTGGGCCAGGGTCAGCCAGCAGGCAGCCCAGAAGCTGAGGCCAAGAGCCTGGCCTCTCGCCCTGCCATTCTTCGTCTGTGGTCCCTCAGGAGCCTGCCACCTTGCCAGGAGGCCCTCCCACCTCATCTCACCCTTCTGGGCTGGGCTGTGGTGTATAACTAGGAAGGATTTCAAGGATCAGTCACTTGCTGTGTGACCTGCCTGAGCCTCCCCACTGTCCTTACCCTGCTCAGCTCCCCTCGCCTCCTCTGGGGACTATGTTCTCATGCCCTGGAACTCATGGCAGAGACCCTGGCTGTGAGATCCTTTCACCCATGCTGGTCCCTCCGCTCTGAATGCACTTCCCTACCCTGCTGCCTTTGCATGCTCTCCTTTTGGGTGCAGGACAGTTCCCAGGCACCCTCTCTGACCTGCTGACCCTTGGGGTTTAGCCCCCACCTCCTCAATTCTCTGGGCGTCCTCATCTATTGGGACCCAGAACACTGCTTGCTTCTCTGGCTCCCCGCGACAGGGTTCAGACACTGCCAGCCCTCCCGTACTCCTTCTGGGCCTGACCCATAGCAGCTGGCTCATTAAGCAGTTCCGACCATGACAATCATCAGAGTCTCTCCTTCTCCAGGCCTCCCTCTGGCCTCACACAAACACCTTCCCCACTTTTCATCAAGATGTTACTGCAGACCAGGAAGGAAGCTCCTGCTCCTCCCAGGGCTTAAGCCAAGCTAAGTCCATGAAGGTCCTTGCAGAGACATACAAGGGAAGATCCACATGGCAGCCGCAGGCTCCACGCCGACCACTGAGAAGATAGGAAATCAGTATCACACTCGTGTTCTCTGAGGATGTCTTGGCCAGCAAGCCCTGGACCAGACAAGCTGTGAGGGAGCTGTGTGACACTGATGGGACCACTGTCCTACCCTGATTGGGCCTGAGCTGAGGGAGAGAGAAGCAGTGTATGCTTCACTGGCTCCTGATGACAATGCTTTGGACATTGCCGCCAAACCTGGGGTCATTTTCACCAAGTCTAGCCTTGGTCTGAGTCCTGGTTCCAGCTCCTGACTTCAGCTTCCTGCCAATGCACACCCTGGAGGCACCAGAAGAAAGCACAAGTCCCTGGCGCCCTGCCTCTCATGTGGGAGACCTGGATAGCATTCCTGGCTCCTGGCTTTCATCCCAGTCCAGCTCTGGGCATTTTGGATATGTGGGGAGTAAACCAGATGATGGAAGTGCTCTCTCAAAAGTTCAAAAACAAAAACAAAAACACTTTAGCAACAGATATCAAAAAGAAGTACAAGGAAGATCTGCATATTAAAGGTCCCAGAAGCCCTTCAGTAAATAAAGCTGGTAGCAAGGCTTAAGGCCACACCCTTATTCCCTTAGTACCTCAGACTAAGAAACTACACCGCCAGCCAGCAGAATCTGTTTTCTCTGGAGCAATATGCTGTGTACACGGTAACAGGGGACTTGGGAAGGAAACGGAAGCTCGGGGCCTTGGCTTTGGCCATGTTCCTCCAGGAGCCCACAGGGCTGGGGGTATTCTCAGCACCAGGAGTCCTCACCACGAGAGCTGCTGACAGTTTCCTCTGCCCCTTGGCCAGCCCCCACCAGACAACATTCTGACTGCTTCTGGACTTCCCAAATAACCGTCCCCTCCTCCCACAGGAAGAGAAGCTGCTCCCCTCAGCCCATGCAGCCCTGTGACACGTGCCAGCCAACTGCTTTCTTTTGATCTACCTGGGTCTCTATAGGAGCCATCAGTACCCTAAGATTGCATGCAGAATTGTGTGTCAGTATGTGCCTGTGAGTGTAAGTGTCAGTGTGTGTGTGCATGCGTGTGAACACGTGTGCAGGCATTTTTCTGGGAGGAGAGTGCAAAGCTTTTGTGATTCCTGGTGGGAATCACAAAAGGCTGGGAATCATGTGAATGGAAAATGCTGGGGACCTGTGCTGTAGTATAGCCAGTTAAGCTGCTGCTTGGAGCACTAGCATCTGATATTGGAATGTATTTTGAGTCTTGGCTGTTCCATTTCTTCTTTTTCTTCTTCTTTTAAAACTTATTTATATTTATTGGAAAGGTAGAATTGCAGAGAGAAGGAAGGAGCCTAGGATTTCTTTTGGGTTTCTCACCTGGGTGTCAGGTGCCTAAGGACTTGGGTTATCTTCCACTGCATATGAGCAGGAAGCTGGACCAAGTGAAGCAGGGGCCAGCACCACATCATAGCAGGCTAAGCCTCTGCCTATAAGGACATGGTCCCATATTGGTGCCAGTTTGGGCCCTGACTACTCTAGTGCTCATCCAGCTTCTTGCTCATGGCCTGGGAAAAGAACAGAGAATGGCCCAGGTCCTTGAGCCTCTGCATCCTCACGGGAAACCTGAAAGAATCTCCTGGCTCCTGGCTTTGGACTGGCCCAGCTATGGTTGGCTGTTGTGACCATTTGTGGAATGAACCAGCAGATAGTAGATCTCTCTCTGTCATCACTCTGCCTTTCGATACATAACTGAATCATCCTTAAGAATCAAAGGAAGGTGCTGGGGCTCTGACACGAGTACTGGCCTCCCACGAGAATCCTCAATTCCATCTGCCTCCAGTCTACTCCCTCACCGGAGGCTCCAGGTCTTCCAGGGGCTGAATCCAACCAGCCTCCTTGGGCCATTGGGTGCCATCCAGCCTGAGGCCAGGGCCCTGTGTTGTCTCATCTGTCTGTTCCCAAACCTGCAGCCAGCTCCCAGGCTCTTCTGATGTCAGCTTAACTACTGTTATTTCCTTCTTGTAACTTCCCTGGCCAATTCTGAATCAAGGACCCTCTTCTTTCTGCTCCCCAGCCTCAGGCTCACCTCTCCAGGACCCCTCTGTCTGCCTTCCCCCTTTTGTGTGTAATCAGCTGTGCACAGCCCTTGTCAGAAAATCAGCTCCCAGGAGAGTGTTCTATCTAGTGTGGCTGTGCTTTGTCCCCACACACAGCACAGTGCCCTGCATGCCTGTCTGTGGCTCGTGGAACAGATACATGCAGAAGCTCTGATGCTGTGCTACGCTTTGGCACTGCCACACGCAGACTGTGGATGTTTCTAACGCCAACAGGACTTTTAGGGACCCAAACAGGGAAACACTAAGATCATGTGTTTTTGTCTTTTCTCGGCAAAAGCCGCCTTCTCCCCAGCTGCACACTGCACGCCGAAGCACAAACACGGGTATGCAGGACCGGGGAGAGTGGTGCAGGCAGTGTAAGAATTAACCTACCTGCGTTCCTGAGAAAGCGGTTCTTGTAGTCCTTGACCACCCGTGTGATCGGGTTATAGAAGCCATCTCCACAGTCATAACAGCCTTTGGGGATCTTCCTAGGTGGGTCCAAGTTGGTGAGCTGACAAATAACTTGAAAGGACACCAGCAACAATTAGTTCACTTTCAAGGCCAAGTGCAAACCCAACGTTCCTGGAAGGTCTGCTTTTGCCTGATTACGCCTGTAACCATTTGGGTCTACCAGTGGAGTAAATGGTCGTTTTTCAGGGCAAGAAGCCATCCCCAAAGCAGCCTTCCGAAAATGGCTCTGCGAGCAGGGACTCTGGAACAGTCTCCCATCTTTTCCTCTGGATTCCATGCTCCCCAAAGTCTATAGAATGTGCCATGACCAAGGACCAGAGAAAGCCTGAGGGCAAGTCAGAGTGCTTCCTTTTTGCCAGGAATGCATCATGTGCCTACTATTTCATTGAATCATGGGGCAAACCTCTGGCTCCATTTTACAGATGACAAAACTGATACCCAAGCCCAGTAACTTTCCCAGGGTTGTCCAGCTAGGAAGCAGTTTGGTTCTAGAACCTGTGTGCTAAGCTGCTGACATCAGTGGAGAAGAGTGTTGGGGTGTGGTTCCAGACCCAGGAGTGTTGGGAACCCTAGCAGGAGGAAAGAGGAGCCAGTGCATGTTCAGCCTGTGTGTGTGTGCATCTTGGAATGCTGTGGCCTGAGCAAAGTGAAAGGCTGGGACACAGGCCCTACAATCTCCTCTTCTCTGGTCAGGGAGCTTGATGCCCACTGGGCACAGCTCACCTGTTACCCTGACTTCACACACTTCGACTAAGGCCAGGCATGGAACTTCTAATTTCAACTTAGAAGCAGATGGTAGCTAAAGGCAAAGAGGTGATTCAGCTTGTGTAAGGAGAGTTACGGAATGGTCATAGGAAAGGGCCTAATACCTGGCAGTTTTCTGGCAAGTTCTGCCCCTGATGGAGGTAGACTCATGCAGGCTCACCTGCTGCACAAGGGGAAGGCTGGGCCTGGAACTCAGACCTTCCACCTCCAGCCTCTGGCAATCATACCATAGTTTTTCACACCCTTTGGGTTGCCATTGCTTTTTATAGTATAAAAACCCATTTTTCCCACATGTCACTTTGGCTACAGCATCACTGCTGGGTCCCAAAATTGGGAGTTCCTTTGACCTGGTACGAGTCTCAGAAACAGAGTAGTTCCTGAAACTGCCATTGTTTGAATCCAGGCTCTCCCAAGCCAGCCCTCTGGGATGGACATAGTGCCCATGGAGGTAGCATATTGCAGCTGGGTTGGAGTGACTCCCAAGAGGAATGTGTTGGCTCCAAGGCAAGCTCTGCCCCTCAGGAACCATCTCTACTCCCTGGCCTCAACTTTCTCCTCTGGGACCAACAAGGCCAACCCAGAAGGATTGCCTAGAGCCTCAAGGAAAGCTTTATCTGAGATGTACCTGCTGGTTCCTGCTGGCTCCTTTTGAAACTCTTTGCATAATTTGAAGGCCCCCAGAGGCACTGTAAAGGGTAGGTGATTCATCCTGGGCACCCAACATGCCTATAAGTCATTTTCCTACACTTGACACAAATCACTACAACAGTCTTGTGGCATACTTCATGCTACCCTCCTTATTCTCGCTGGGAGAAAAGGAGGCACACCAGACTGAAGCCTCTTGCCCCAGGCTCCTCTGGCTGGTGCAATGGAGCTGAGATCCGAGGAACAGCCTTTCTGACCCTGAGCTCTGGCTCTCTGGGTACCATCTGCTACACTTGCTAAGTCTCTGTGGAGCTACTTCAATAGGTCACAGTCAACCCACCTCCAGTTTCCTTCTGAATTTGGAGGTGGAGAGGGGAGGGGGCCTGGGTACCTGCAGGCCTGAAGCCGTGGCAGATCTCCGTGTAGAACCTGCGATCATAGCGGTCGCAGTAGTGCCAGTGCTTGCTTTCGTACTTCAGCCCATCTTCGAAGGTGTAGGTACCCTAGGGAAGGCAAGACACCCATGTGAGTCTCAGGTGAGAAGGCCAGAGAGGCCATGCGATGGAGTGAGTGGTGGGCATCTCAGAGTGGCTGTGAGGCTCAGGGAGAAGGCTCCCGGGGCCAGGCTCTGGGCTGCCAGCAGTGTGTAGCTCACTGTGTGAACTTGGGCATGTGAGCCCCTGGCTCTAGGCCCTCAGTTTCTTAATTAGCAAGCTTAGCATCATGATGGTACCTTGTAATGGGGATGGGGCTGGAGAATGGAGAGTCTAATGAGCTGACACTTCTAGAGCATTTACCACAATGCTTGATGGTGAGGGCTGATTTGCTGCCACCTTGACTGGGCTGAGGGATGCCCACAGAACTGACCAAGCAGTATCCTGGCCATGTCTGTAAGAGTGTTCCTGGAATAGGGGAGCACTGCAATGAGAGGACCTAGGAGAGGAGATCTGCTCTCCCCAGCGCCTGTGGGCTATGCCCAGCCCCTGGAGGGCTTGAGTAGCACAAAGCAGTGGAGGAAGGGCCGGCTCCCTTGCTCCACTAGGGCTGCTTTGCCTGAACATGGACATGTGCACACCCGGCTCCCTGTCCTCTGGACTCTGACTGGAACATGCAACACCACCTCTCCTGCTTCTCAGGCCTCTCAAAGTAGGCTGGGACCACCTTGGCGCTTTCCTGGGTCCCAGGCCTACAGGAGGGACACTGCACCCCTTCTCAACCTCCATAGTCCTGGGAGCAACCTGTAATGATAGATCCCCATCTATCTGTTATATCTCATCTATTCACCTGTCTTCCATCTTTCTCTCTCTCAGCTATTATTTGTCAGCTATCTGATATCTATCTATCTAGCTAGCTCATATTAGTTCTGTTCCCCTGCAGAACCCTGATTAACACATAGTGAGCACTCAGTAAATGTTACTGCTCTTTTATTTATAGTCCTGATAAAAGACCAGAGCCACCAGCTGCAGTGCTGTGTCAAAAAACATGTGTCTTTTCTTCTGTTGCTTTAGAGTTAAAGGAAGCTTCAGGATGCAGAAGTGGCATTGGCTTGGGTGTCAGGAAATGTGCGTGGGAATTCCAACAACACTATTAATTCACTGTGTGACCTTGGGCAAGTCATATCCCCTTCCTGGGGCTTACAGATTCCAAGCTGGAAAACAAGGAGTATTTCTTAACCCTTATCAGGCCACGAGTCAGACTCCAACACACTCTGAGTGAGACTACAGGCGATGTAGAACCTCTTCCCAGAAAATACACAGGCCCACAGGCACAGCTACTTGTGTCTATGGGTTGGGAGGTTTTGTGGACACCCTGCATTGGATTTGTGGCCCATAAATCCCAGGCTGAGGACAGTTGGATGAAATGACTTGTGATGACAGAAGCAGTGAGGCAGTGGCAATGTTAAGAGCTGACACTTACTGAGGGCCTACCGTGTGCCAGGAACTTAGCCAAGGGTTCACATACATTGCTTTATTTCCTCTCACCACTGCCCCACAAGGTTGTGCTATTGCAGTTGGCTGGGTAACAGTCCTACAAACAAGAGTGCATCTGCTGGAACCTGGGAAGACTCTGAATGGCAAAAGGGAACTAGGTTCAGGATCTTGAAGGGGTGGGGTGATTAGCCTGCAATTTTAGGGCATGGGCCCAGGGGAATCACAAGGATCCTAATGGGAGGGAAAGAGCAGAGTGAGGGCGAGGAGAGATAAGATGATAAAAGCAGAGGAAGGGAAGGTGATGTGATGGGAGAAGTGGGAATTGGAGCGAAGAGTGGCTACAAGCCAAGAAATGCTGGCAGCTCTCAGAAGCTGAAAAAGGCAAGGAGACAGACTGTTCCCTGGAGCCTCCTAGAATAATGTAGCCCTGCTTAAGCACTGAAACATGTGAGGTGTGAGTGGAGAGAGAGGAAGGGAGAGAGAGGGAGACAGAGAGAGAATATGTTTCTACCCACTGGTTCACTTGCCAAATGCCTGCAGCCAGGAGTGCAGAATCTCAGCAAAGTCTCCTATGTAGGTGGCAGAGGCCCAGGTACTTGAGCCATGACCTGCCCTTCCCATGTTAGCAGGAGTTGGCATTGGAGCAGAGTGGAGACTCAAATTTAGGTACTCAGTATGGGATGGAGGTGTCTCCGCCAGCATCTTAACCATGATACCAGATGTCCACCAACTCCCAGTTTAAGCTTCTGATCCCCAGAACTGCAAGGTTAGAAGTCCTGGGCTGCTCTCAGATTCTGTGTGGTGATTTGGTACAACAGTGACAGGTAACCTGTATGACTGCTGTCCTCAGACCAGACTAGGGGCCAGAATGTCAGAGAGGTCAAGGACAAAGGTCCAAGAGCCAACAAAGGCATAATGGGATTCAAACTTGTCATGGCCTCTGCTGGGGCCCTTTGGGATCCAGGAGATTCTAGAGCCCTGGGAGGTCAGGAAGCATGGGCAAGAGGGACTGGAGGAAGGGGAACATCAGCCCCTCCACCCCATCCCGCTGCAGGCCCCCAGCTGCTTACCTCCACAGCCAAGCCTTTCTCCCAGATGGCGTCATATCGGCTCCCACCAGGGAAGTACAGGGTCCCTTGGCCGTGAAACATGCCGTCCTTCATCTCCCCGACATATTTCGTTGCGGTTGGGAGGATGTACTTACCTTTGCCTTCCATCCTGTAAGGACACAGGGAGACGGCTGAGCAGTTCAGATGCGGGACATCGGAGTGCATGGATGACGGAGGGCGAACAGGAAGCTCAGCCTCCAAGGTTACTGCCTTAGCTACATTCTGCTCAAAACCGATGCTTTGTTTACCTTTCCCCTCAAATTGCAAAAGCAGGAGGGTCTGTAATGCTCAAGAAGGTGCAGAGTTTGGTCTGTCTACCCTGCGCTCCCCTGGAGGTCCCCCTGGAGCTCATGCTATCCCTCTGAATGCCTGTCTCGGGTGATGCAGAGAGGGTAAGTGTGTTCCCAAAGCCACAGAACAAAACCCACGGAGGTTTGGGTTTCCTGGAAGTGGTGTATCTTCCCATCCTCCACAGCCCACCCCTGTCTGTCACACCACAGCTGGGATGTTTGGAAAAGGATGACATTTAGGGACAGGTCATATAAATCTGAAACATGATGTCACCATTTTGTTTTGCTGAATACATCCATTTGAAGGCTTTGTTAAGTCTGTTATACCTGTCTCTCTTCTTCCAGCCCTTCTTTCTGTCCCACAAAGAGTTACAGATGCTGTGCTGAAAGGCTGGTCTGTCCTGCACAACATAGATAACAACTACCATCACAACAAAGACAGTCCTCACCCTGGGGGACATCAGGAGCAATCACCCAACATGTAGCCAGTGTCCCGTTGGGGCGACAGGAGAATGGGGCAAGTGACCAGCTCCTTCATGGGCCAAATGGCTGAGACAGGTTGAGATCAACTTAGACAATGTGTATGTGTGGGTGCTACAGTGATAGCTCAACTGGCTAGTCTGTCTGCAAGCACCCGGAGTCCATACAGATGCCAGTTTGTGTCCCTGATGCTCCACTTCCTTTCCATCTCCTTGCTTGTGGCCTGGGAAGGCAGTGGAGGATGGCCAAAGCTTTTGGACCCTGCATGCACATAGGAGACCTGGAAGAAATTCCTGGCTCCTGGCTTCAGATTGGCTCAACTCCAGCTGTTGTGACTATTGGGGGAGTGAATCAGTCACTGGAAGATCATTCTGTCTCCCCTTCTCTCCATAAAAATTTGCCTTTCCAATAGAAATAAACAGATCTTTAAAAATGTTTACAGGTATCCCTAGTGAAGGGCCCTACCATATGCATTTTTCTTCACCATTTCTGAAACCACCTGTCCCAACTTCTGCAGGCTCTGCTCAGTGATCTGTGGGACCCTCAGGACTTTTGGTCCCACTTGGTGATTGTCACCTGCATCTCCTGCCTTTGACCAGTGTCTTGACAGCAAGGTGGGGATGTCCTTAGCTCTTAGCCCTGCTTGCTTTTTGGAAAGGTATGCTGTAAACATCTACTGAGGAAGAACAAAGGAAACACGCAGGCTGGGGGGTGGGGGCTGGTGGGACAGACAACGGGGACAGAGCACTGGAGAAAGCCTGGCTTCTAGGCTGCACAGCCCTGATGCATCACTTATTCTATAGTGGCCTCCCTGAGTCCACATTTTTCATGAATACAGTGCAAATTGTGCCAAAACCTCCCTCCAGTTCTTGAGATAACTGAATAAGATGATGGTTGTGAAACTGGAAAATGCCCAGTACTGAAAATCATTTTGCTTTATTTTGTTGCAAGACATGGAGGAGAAGGGAGACTCCTCACACCTGCCATTTCTGAGCATTAGAACTTCCATGGGAGTGCCCCATGCTGAAATCAGCCTCAGCCCTTTCCTTCCTGTGCTCCTTTGGGATCACTGTTGAGGCCTTCCACAGACCTCTCCTGCTCACAGCCATCTGAGCCATCTGGGCCTCTCCTCCCCCAGCACCCCTCCCACCCACCACAGAATTCGCCTTGTCCCTGGATGGGACTCGATGGGGTCTGAAACTCCTCAGTCCCTCTGGATGTGCACTGACCTCCCTCCTTCCCCTCTGGTTTGTTGGTCTCCCTTGTACCAGAACCAATCAACAGCCAGGTCCTGGCGATGAAACCCCAAACCCCTCCCACATTCTTGGGTTGCAGCACCCCAACCCCTGGCCCTTGGCCCTTCTGCTTCTGCCTGGGACAACCCCAATGGGCTCTGATCTCCTTTCTGCCTCCTTCCCTCCCACGCTTCTGCCCTTCTATTTTACAGAATCAGTCAAGCTAAGATGTTCTCATTCTAAACTGAAAGCTAAAAAGAATCAAGATGGACTTTTTTTTAGCGTTTTAGAACAAAGATTTCAACCCACAGTGGAGAATGAAGGTGACTTATGGAGACAGACAGGTAGGTCAAATACCCCTCATTTAATTCATTCATTCTCTTACTAATTCACTCAGGCAATATGAGCATGACAGGTACACTCAGAGGAGGGACACAGGGACGCTGCAGGCCAGACTTCCTCCTGCTCCACTGAACCCAGGATGTACCAGGGGCTGCTCCACTTGCATGGTCTTAGAATTTGTCAGAGCACAGACCGCCTCTCCAGCTTCCCCTCCCGTGGCTCCTCCAGGCTGTTCTGCCAAATGCCAACCCAGTTACTTTAGGAAAGTTGGTCCTACAGTTACCTGGATTCTTACTTTTGCCATCCACAAAGCAGGACCAGGACATCCAGCTCACAGAGCTGCTGTTGGCAGGAAAGAAAAAAGTGCAGCCACCTGGTACACAGTGGCGGCCACATGATTGGCACTGGTCTCCCTCCTCCCCCTCTGGTTTGTTGATCTCCCCTGCACTTGGGTCGTGCTGCCTTGCTATGGAATTCTCTAGAATTTCACAGTGCAACTATTCCAGGGAAACCATGATCTTAAGTTCAGGCAGATTTTAAATGAATTTATCTTTATCTTTTTGATATCCATACATGGTACAGGGAAATCATACCTCTTAATATTTCAAAGAAATCATAATCTCTCTCTTCCTTTCTCTCTCTGTAACTCCTTCAAATAAATAAATTTTTAAAAAAGCACTTTATTGAAGTGTGATTGACAACCAAGCACACATGTTTAACGTGTGTAAGGCAAGTTTTGACACACACAGACACCTCATCACAATCAAGATAACATGCCGATTATCCTGCAACATTTCCACATGCCTTCTGCCATCCTTCTTGCTTGTCCTTTCCTACAATCCTCATCCCCAGGAAATCACCAAGCTGGTTTCTGTTACTGTGGGTGAGCTGATGTTTTCTAGAATTTGATATAAATAGTATCATATAGTATGTATCCCCCCTTTTAAGATTTTGCTTAAATTTATTTTATTAGAAAGTCAGATATACAGAGAGAAGGAGAGACAGAAACATCTTCCTTCCACTGACTCACTCCCCAGGTGACTGCAATGGCCATAGCTGAGCTGATTCATTGAGTCAGGAGCTTCTTCCAAGTCTCCCATGTGGATGCAACATCCCAAGGCCTTGGACCGTCCTTGACTGCTTTTGCAGGCCACAAGCAGGGAGCTGGATGGGAAGCAGGGTCAGTGGGACAGAAAGTGATGCCCATACGGGATCCCGGTGCATACAAGGCAAGGACTTTAGCCACTAGGCTATCATGCCAGGCCCCGTATCCCCACTTTAGGTCTGATTTTTTGCACTCAGTATATTCCTCTGCAACTTACATATACATATTGTGTGTTTGTACCAATTGCTCATTCTTTTTCTATTGCTGAGTAGTATTCCAATGAATAGATGTACCACATTTTGTCTATTCATTCACCCATTGATGGACATGTGGGTTGTTTCGAGTTTTCAATTTTACTAATAAACCTTCTATGAGCCATATGTGCATTCGGAGAATATATTGGTTTGTTTCTCTTGGGTGGTGGTGGTATATGCCTAGAAATAGAACGGCTGTTTAACTTCAAAACATTTCCCAAAGTAGTTGTACCATTTTATATTTCAGCATAGTATTATCCATGTAAAGTTAAGTGAATAGAATATCTTCTCTCTACCATAGGATGTTCTTATTTCACATTTTGATTAAGATGTTTCTGTAACGTATAGTGATGGAATACTGGGGTCCACCATATTCAGAAGTGGGGGTACAATGCAACATACATTCCTGCTTCCAAACAAAAGATGGACTCCCAGTGAAACTGTTGGAGATGAGTAAAGAATGGGATGCCAGCCTGTCTGACACTGTCTGTACCAGCAAAGTCGGGGCACACTTAAATAAGAGACTGGTGGAATTATGACTCTTTATGAAGGATTATACTATTGTAGCAATGTGGGGAAAACCTGCTGGGGGTGGAATTTTGGGGGGGGGAGAATCCCAAATAAAATAAAAATTTTTTGAAAAAAAAGTCATTTTTCCTACTGTGGTGGAAAAAGGGCTTCCAGGCTTCACTTTTCCTATGCTACCCTTTAAAGGTTGCCATGAGGATTAGACGTAGTGTATCTGTGCAGCATCACCTTCTCTAGGAGACTTTCCCCTACTCCTGGCCAGGCTCTGATCTCCTCACCAGGAGTCCATCAACCAGTGAATACAAAGAATGGAGTCCACCCAAATCTGGCGACTCTTCTCCATCTCCACATCCCCAGGCACCAACAACTAGCACTTGCTTGGCAATGCACTTCATTTTGTCAGCCTCAGTTTATCCAGCAATAAGAAACAGATCTTACCTTCTTCATCCAGGGTGCTTGGCAAAGTGGCCAGCCCTGTTTCCTCTGCTTCTCTCAACTGCAGCATTGGCCACACTGGACTGCCATGATCTGTTATGCACACTGGCCATCCTACATGTGAATGAGTTTCCAGAGCGTAGGGATTGTTCCTTGAGTCAGATCCAGGGCCTGGGACTTGAATGCTTGTAGCACTGAATAGCTCTTAGGAATCCTTAGTCTGTTAGAGTGTTTAGAGTACACAACCCTCCGGTAATTCCTAGCTTGTGAACTCTTTAAGGGAAGAGACCGTGGACTCAGATTAGCCCTTGATAACCCCTGACCACACTGCCTTTTGCAGGATTTAGCAACATCTGACTTGATCTTCCCATGTATCAATTCAGAGTCTCAACCAGACTGGGCTGCATGAGAACAAGTGTCTTATTTCTGTACCTAAACCAGGCAGCACTTGCAGCACGCGCACACAGCAAGTTCATATGGGTCGTGTTCTTGACCAAGCTATTCCAACGAGTTTACCCGAGTCCCTGATTCAAGGTCCTTTGCAGACATCTTTTTCCAGTCACAGAAATTCAAGACACGTGAATCAAGTGGGGTTCTTACCTCCCATCTACATACTCCCCGATATACTTGCTTCCTATGTACTCCATGGCACCAGCTTCTGTTGAGACCCAGGAGCCTCGATGCCTACTGTCTCACTATGACAACCAGGCGGGGTGGGCGGGGCCGACACAAAGCCCCGCCCCGGCGTGGCGCACGCTCTCGTCGCGCGCCGTCGGACGCAGCATAGTGCGCCTGCGTGCCTGCGGCTGCGCATGCGCAGGCGCTGTGAGGGCCCTCGGCGCTCCAAAGGGGAGTTCAAGGAGACGGGGGCGACGGAGCGGACGGCGTCTCCTCAGGTCGGGGGCTGCCGCCGCCATGCCGGGGATAGTGGAGCTGCCCACTCTGGAGGAGCTGAAAGTGCAGGAGGTGAGGCTCGTCCGGAAGACCGGCACGCGGGGTCTAGGGTTGCGGCTTCCGGGGCCTGGGCCCAGTCCAGCCGACCCTGGAACCCGAGTCGCTCCATCCCCGCCCCGGTCCCCGTACCCCGAGACAGGTTGAGGCCCTATGAATAGAAAATCCCTATCCCGCAGGGGCTCAGGGATGTGCTTCCACCGCACCCTGCTTCTCCTTCCGTGGATAACAGTGGTTTTGTTTTTTTCTGAAGCACCACAGGGACCGGTGAAGTGACCCTATGTTGCCCCTTCTCACACCTCTGCCAGTGAGCGTGCAACAGGTGCTCCCAACCCAGGCAGGGAGAGGGCCACCTTCAAGTAGTGTCCTGCCGCGGAGCGCGCTGCAGCCGAGCTGGGAGGCCCCAGGGAGAGGTCGTAGGTGGTGAGGGCGCTCAGAGCTGTGGCAGGAGGAAAGCCATCCTTTAGTCAGGAGATTGGCTTGCATACTGGCCGTGTGCACACACGCTGGCTCTCACAGTTTATAACGGGGATACAGGGTGCTTCTGATGACTTTTCATGCCCGTATTCATTGGGTGCTCCCAGCACAGCTGTAACGTGGGCGTGTAAGGGGGCTTCCTGCCTTGGAGATCAGAACTAGGCCCTGAGAGTGAGAACGATTTGCCCAAGGTCACGGAGCTGGAAGGTGAACCCGGGTCTGTTTTCAAACCAGACTGTTAGGGGCCAAAGCTCAAAACAGTCTGAAGGCTGAGCAGAGCCTGTTAAGTAAGCATGGAGCCAGATGCTGTTTTGGTGGGACCCTGGAGTTGGTGGAGTGCAGCAGCTGCTCAGACCACACTGGTGGCTTGGGCTGAGCAGGGATTAGGACCAGGTGGTTTAGTAAAAGGTGAACCGTTTTCTTTTCTTTTCAATATTTATTTGTTTATGTTAGAAAGGCAGATATACAGAGAGAAGGAAAAACAGAGACAAACATCTTCCCGTCACTCCCCAAGTGGCCGTAACAGCTGGAGCTGAACCGATCTGAAGGCAGGAGCCAGGAGACTCCTCTGGGTCGTCTCCCACGCAGGTGCAGGGTCCCAAGGCCTTGGGCCGTCTTCTACTGCTTTCCCAGGCCACAAACAGGAAGCTGGATGGGAAGTGGAGCTGTCAGGACATGAACCGGTGCCCGTATGGGATCCTAGCGTGTGCAAGGCAAGGATTTTGCCACTAGGCTATTGCGCCAGCCTGAGTTTTGTTTTTTGATTGTTTGTTCATTTCTTCCTTTGGATTTATTTGTCTGAGGGTCTGGCTTGCTTCGGCAGCATATGTACTAAAATTGGAATGATGCAGAGGGTCTGGCACAAGGGCTCAATTGGCTGATCTTCCCCCTTCAAGTACCAGGATACCATATGGGTTTTGGTTCATGTCCCGAATGCTCCACTTCCCATCCAGCTCCTTGCTTGTAGCCTGGGAGAGCAGTGGAAGACGGCCAGTGCTTTGGGACCCTGCACCTGCATGGGAGGCCCAGAAGAAGCTCCTGGCTTCGGGTCAGCTCAGCTCTGATTGTTGCAGGCATGTGGGGAGTAAACCAGTGAATCGAAGATCTCTCTGTATCTCCTTTTCTCTGTATATGTGCCTTTCCAATAAAAATAAATAAATCTTTTGGGAATAAAAAAGATTTATTTGCTTGAAAGGCAGAGTGATAGAGGAACAGACTTCATTCTCTCAAATGACTTCATTGGCCAGGTCTGGGCCAGGCCAAAACCGGGAGCCTGGTCCTTCATCCAGGTTTCCCATGTGGGTGTCAAGGGCCCAAGTCCTCAGGCTGCCTTTAGCTGCTTTCCCAGACCTGCTAGCAGAGAATCTGAGCAGCTGGACTCGATGTCACATTCTGATAAAGGATGGCAGCTCAACAGACAGCAGCTTAACCTCTTGCGCCACAGTGTCAGCCAAACACCAGGGTCAACGCTTGGGTTTCGTTGAATCTGCTGGCCTCTGAAGATGGCACCCAGGTCCACATTCAGGGACTTGGATCAAGTGCCGTTCCCCTGGAGCTGGTAGCAGTTGTGCTACACAGGGCCAGGCTCTGTTTCTTGCCCCATGATGAAGCTAGGTTAAGCTGGAGTTGTTGTATTTTCTGTTGCAATGTTAATCTCCTTTACCAACCACCTGCGATTCTATTTCTTCATGCAGGTGATCTCTTAGGGGATAAATTTGTCTTTCAGGTTCACAAAACTGAGGAAAAAGATAATGACACAAGCAGCTAGACTGTAGACAGTGGGCAGAGGGGCTGGCGTAGCTCACAGAGCAGGATGGAAGCGCATTCTGAAGGCCAGGCCCTGTTGCCTGGTGCCCATGATGTGTGGTGTCAGCCACTCGCAGACACAGTTCTTTATAGGATAAGGTGGCTCCAGTAGTGAAGGGAACAGAGCACGTTCCACTTGGGCACAGTGGCATTTGTAGAAGCAGAGGAGTAGAGAGGAACTTTTCTGTGTGCCTGGCAGATCTGAGCTGGGATAAGGCAGATGGGAGAATAGTGGAGTTGGGGTTTTAAGAGAAAAAACAAGTGATTGGGCCCGACACGATGGTGCAGTGGTTAAGGTCCTTGCCTTGCACGCCCGGGATCCCATATGGGTGCCGGTTCTAATCCCGGCGGCCCCGCTTCCCATCCAGCTCCCTGCCTGTGGCCCGGGAAAGCAGTCGAGGACAGCCCAAGGCTTTGGGACCCTGCACCCGCGTGGGAGACCTGGAAGAGGCTCCTGGCTTCGGATCAGCATAGCATCGGCCCGTTGTGCTCACTTGGGGAGTGAATCATCGGACGGAAGATCTTTCTCTCTGTCTCTCTTCTCTGTATATCCGCCTTTCCAATAAAGATAAAATAAATCTTAAAAAACAAAAAAACAAGTGATTGCTTTTCAAGTGTGGGTGAAAAAGGCTTTGAATACCAAGAAACGTAGATTCTATTTTGCTTTAAGGGCTTGGTTGCTCATTGGTTTTAATAGCAGGGTAAAAATAAGAATTGTCATTTAGGGAGATCACTTCAGCAACTCTGAGAACAGGAAAGAAGAGAAATCAGGAGGTGTGATGGGTTACGCTGCTGCCTGCAGTGCTGGCATCCTATAGGAGCACAGGTCGGAATCCTGGCCACTCCATTTCTCGTCCAGCTCCATGCTGATGCTCCTGTGAAGGCAGAAGTACTCTGGCCCCTGCACCCAGGGGGAGACCCACATGCAGCTGCAGGTACCTGGCTTTGGCCTGGCCCAGCTCTGGCTGTTGTGGTTGTGTTAGGGAGCGAATCAGATGGAAGATCTGTTTCTATTTTTCTGTCTGTCCTTCCTTTCTATGACTCTACCTTTCAAAGAAATTATTTTTTTTTTAAAGAAAGAAAAACAGTCATGGTGACTGTTAAACTAATTGAGTGGAATATGTATTTTTAATGTTTATTTATTTGAAAGGGAGAGTTACACAGACTCAAGAGAGAGATCTTCCTTCCATTACTGCACTTTCCCAGTGGCTGCAGTAGCTGGGGTTGAGTCAGCCTGAAGCCAGGAGCCAAGAACTCATCCAGATCTCCCACATGTATAGCAGGGACTCAGGTACTGAGCCACCATCTGCTGTTTTCCCAGGTTTAGCAGAGAGCTGGGCTGGAAGCAGAGAAACTGAGAACTGTAGAGTTACCCTGTTGGGGAGGTAGACGTTCCAAGAAGCAGCTTAACGTGCTGCACCATAATGCAGGATCTTCATGAATTCCATGTCATTGGTGACCGTGCTTACAGAGAGGGCAGAGCAAAGGCTTTGGCCTTGACTTGCTCCCACCTGATAATGACTTAAGATACCAGTGATGTGAAAGGTTATAAAATTAGAGTCAGATTTGCAGCCTGACGGTGGGAGGGGCAAAGCCAGAGATCCAGCAGGTAGTTGTTGTTGTTGTTAAAATATTTACTTATTTGGAAGGCAGAGTTAGAGAGGGAGGTCTTTGATCAACTGGTTCTGCCCCCCAGATGACCACAGGAGTCAAGGTTGGGTCAGACTAAATCCAAAGACCCAGAGCTGCTTCTTGGTCTGCCACATGGGTCACAGGGGCCCAAACAGCATCTGCTGCTTTCCCTGGTGCGTTAGCAGGGAGCTGGGACTGGACCTGGCACCCATATGTGATGCCAGCATTGCAGGCAGTGGCCTAGCCTTCTGCACCGCAGTGGAGGCCCTACGAGCAGGTTTGAGGAGGGAGTTACTGATTAATGATCTCAGTGACTTGGGAATTATAACACATTCCCCTGGAAGAAGCAGTGAGAACCTGTGGGCTTGAGTCCTCCTGGACACACAAGGTTGAGTAAGAGTAAAAGTAATAATCTGTGGTGTACTTTCTATGTGGTAGAAAGTATGTGTATTTAATATGTTAACTTAATTCTCATACCAGTCCTATAAAATTGTAAGAACCATTCTGTTGCATTTTATGTAAATGAAGGAAAATATAAGGCATGCCCTCAAGCAAACACTATAGAAAGAGGTGCAGACGTGGATGAGGACTGGAAGATTGATTGGCTGTCGATCGTGCCTCACTTTCTACACCTGCAGATCCTGTATCCTTGCTGTGCAGTGAGGCTGTTGTGAGAGTACACAAGAAGGCTGTAGAAAGTTTGTGTTTCTGGAGACCAAGGCAGCTGCATGAGTCTGAGAGGGCTTCTCGCCAGGCAGCTGTGCACGCATGGCTCTGATAGGATTCAGCAGTCTCCGTGGAGAGGCACGTGAAGGGGATGTGGTGACATCTCCAGTTCTTTGCCACCTCACCGATGATGATGTCACAGGCAGAGGCCTGATTGGAGGTCAGAATCGCGGGCCCACCCTGCAGTGTCATCCCGAGCGTTTCTTTTTCTGTTCTTTCTTTCTTTTCATCATTTGTGAAGTAGAGCCTCCCTTTATTTCCCTGAAATAGGAATGGTGTTTTCTGTTCTCAATAACACAGGTATACCTTTGTTTTCATTAGGACTCCAAAATCTTAGGGAAGTGGCGCAAATCCTCAGAGAAGGGTTGGGGTTTTGTTTATGCTTTTTTTTTTCTTTTCATGTGGTAGCCCTGGACATTTGAATAGTGAAGCCAACTGGTAAAAGGTGTTTTAAGACATTTAACAGGTAATTAAATACAGCTAACTTAACTTTTAAAATATATTAAATTTTAAAAAAGAGTTCAAGTGTTTGTATTCTCCCAGCTGTTGGCAGGCAATAAAGTAAGCAAATGTTTACCACTTATTAAGCAAACTTTCCTTTTCAAAAACTATAGAAATTTTAAAGATTTTTTAATGTAATGTGTTAGAATCAACATGCAAATTTCACTGATGTCATAACTTTAGCTTTACTTTGATATTTATAGCAGTCATACTATTAGTAGACATAACCATAATTTTTTCTCTTCTACCTATTATGTATAGATAAATGACTATCGTCATCTTTTCTTGCATTTTATCTTATTACTAACCTAGCTGTTTAAAAAAATACATAAATTATAGGCTGTTTTCACATTAAAATTAAGTCCAGTAATGTCTTAAAGTCTAAGACTCCATCACAGACTAGATTGTATTCTAGAAATCCAGTGGGGCATTTATTGGAAATCTGTGAATGCTGTATGATACATTTATAGGTTCATGAAAGAGAAGCCTGAAAATGGCAGTCTTCCCTGGTGGGGAAGCAACACCAAGGCAAAGCCAGGCAGTGCTTTGGCAGGAAGCCCTGCGGCTTCGTCCCCAGTGCTCGGAGCAGGGGTCTGCCCAAGGCGACCAGTGTGAGCATGGCTCAGTGACAGGTGGGGTTGCTTACTGTCGCTGCTGTTCTTTTGTATTTTCTTGGAGGAGTTGGTTAAAGCAGAAAGATAGGAAAGAGAATAAAAAAGACAAAAAAGTGCACATTTCTAAGTGATAGTTTTTCCACTAATCCTTTGAGTTTTTTTGTGAGACCCAACAAGAGCCCAGTAAGCTGGCTGGAGAGAGCATGGAGTGTACAAACAGGCAGTAAACAGTTTGAACATCCCACAGGAAAATCCTAAACCAGCAAGGAACCAGCAAGAATTATGCCAGGTTTCTCTCTGAAGGAATTTACGGTTTTAGCCAAAAGACTGGGGTGACCTGAGTATGAGTAGAAGGAGGAAAACACTGCTTTGGGGTGAGAGCTTGTGAATTCATGTGTGGTCTCTCCAGTAGCTGCTGTGGCCCCATTGATGCTGCTTGGGGTTGCTTGGTGTATCCACAGTAAACACTGCATGTAATTACCGATTAATGTAGGGGACACTGATGTCTCTGCAAGACTGGATCTGAGTTGAAGCCACAGCCCCTGCCCTCTTGGAGCTTTCTTTCCAGTGTGGACTTAAACATGGATGGCTGCAGGTTCACACATGCGAGCATTAGGGAGCATTCTCTGGGGACTTTGAAATCTGACCCAGCGTCAGTTTAGCATCTCTATCCAAAGACCCCAATTCCAGAATGTTCCAAATTCTGAAAGCTTTTGAGCACTGACATGATGCCACAAGTGGAAAGTACATCTGATGTCATGTGATGGATTGCAGTCAGAACACACACACACTGAAAATACCACATTGACTTACCCTTGGGCTGTATGGATAAGGTATTATATGAAACAGAAATGAAGTTTGTGTTTGGACTTGGATAGCACCCTCAAGATATCTGATGTGTATGTAAATACTTCAAAATCTGAAAAAAAAATTCCTAATCCAAACACTTCTGGTCCTAGGTATTTTTTAAAGATTTATTTTTATTTGTTTGAAAGGTGAAATTACAGAGAAAGAAAAGAAAGCTTCCATGTGCTGACTCACTCCCCAATAGCAGCAACAGCCAGGTCTGGGCCAGGCTGAAGCCAGGAGCCAGGAGCTTTCTCCAGGTCTCTCGAGTGGCTGCAGGAGCCCAAACCCTTGGGCCATCTTCCGCTGCTTTCTCAGACGTGTTACCAGGGAGCTGGACTGCAAGTAGAATAACTGGGAATCAAACCATTGCCCATAGGGGATGTCTGTGTCCCAGGTATCAGCTTTCCCTGCTATGACACTGGTCCTGGTCCCAAACATTTTGCTTAAGGACCCTCAACCTGTATTTTTAAAAGTACTCTAAACTGGGATGATGCTCTAATTGGCGTGATGGTTCAGTTGGCTAATCCTCCACTTGCAAGTTCCAGCATCCCATATTGGTGCTGGTTCATGTTCCAGCTGTTCCATATCCCATCCAGCTCCCTGTCTGGTCTGGGAGAGCGGTGGAGGATGGCTTAGGTCATTGGAACCAGCACTCATGGGAGACCCAGAAGAAACTCCTGGCTTTGGATTGATTTCAGCTCTGGCCATTGTGGCCATCAGGGGAGTAAACCCGCAGATGGAAGATCTATGTCTCTCCTTCTCTTTGCAAAAATCTCCTTTCCAATAAAAAGGAATCTTTTAAAAAGTGCTCTAAATTAGTATGTAACTAAAGTTATACAATTCAAATGCAAATTTTGGGGAGGGTTTCTATCTGAGAGAATAGCCAAGATGTTTTTGCAAAGGAGGAATGAGGAATGATTTTATTGGGACAGAAAAATAGAACAGGAAAAATACCCCAGCAGCTATACAGAGCTGGGGAACCTTTTTCTGCCAAGGGCCACTTGCATGTTTATAATATCACCCAGGGGCCATATCAGATTATCAATTTAAATATCAGTCTGCTATAGATGGATGGAATTTTGAGTTCCACCTATGGTTACCCTGGCAAGATCAGACCGAATGGTTTTGCAAGCTTTATGCAAAACCTACACGCTGCACATTCTCCACCCGTGCATAAGTCCTGGACTGTCCGCAGGTCCCTGAAGTGACCACAGAGAGATCAAGGAGATGCCCTTGAATGCAGGCGAGGGAGACTAGTGTCGCTCCAGGGACTAGTGTTGTGCCAGGGCTGCCGGCTCTCCTTTTCTAAGATGGAGATAGCGATAACCATTCAGTGAGGTTATTGTAAAGGCAAAGGAAACAGTACTTGTGAAGGGGCTTTGTGACCCCTGAAGTCCTGTAGGTGACGCGGTATTATATGCCAGTCCTGTCTCAGCTTTCTTGGTAAAGCCAGAAGGCTGCTCTCTTTGTCCTCCCTCTGTTTTGAGCAGTCCTGAGGTCACAGTCTGTGGTCTTTGTCCCTTCGTTCCTGGCCCAGGTTAAAGTCAGTTCCTCCGTACTCAAAGCCGCAGCCCATCACTATGGAGCTCAGTGTGACAAGCCCAACAAGGAGTTCATGCTTTGCCGCTGGGAAGAGAAGGACCCCCGGCGGTGTTTGGAGGAGGGCAAGCTGGTCAACAAATGTGCCTTGGACTTCTTCAGGTAAGCTCTCTTGGGGTCTGTGCCCGGTGGGAGAAAGGTCGAGGTCTTCTCAGGTGTGTAAGGGAACGTTTGGCTGCTGAAACAGAAAGATAATTTTATCAGGGAATGCATAGATCTTGAAGTCACAGACCAGGGTAAACACTCAATAGGTGATGATTATTTTTGGTTCTGGTTGTTTGTTTTTATTACATGGCAAGTTCCTTTAGCTCCTTAACTCTTGATTTTCAAATTGTGAAATAATACCCGTCTTGGGGCCCACAGACCTAAGTCAGTCAGCTCAGTACTTGTCCACTGCCAGGCCTGGGCCGATGCTGCCACTGCAGAACCCTCCACTGTGAGGGACAGAACAGTGTGCTTAGAGTCCTTGAGGCCAGGGTGCCTGGTGCTTAAGACCAAAGGTCCAAACCGTGTAGCAGTCCATGTGTTAGAGCTCTGGTTAAGGGACAGTAATTGCACCCATAGAGAAACTGGCTCTTACAAATGTAAGTCCAGAAACAGGCCTGTTGTTGGGCAGGGCCCAAGGCAAGATTTCCTAACTATTGGATGGCCTTCTGCCTTGTCTTCTCTCAGTCCTGTGGTTCTGCTTTTCTCCACTGACCGTATTTTCAGAGTCTCTCCTGGCTGTGGCATACTCGGCTGCCAGCCACATCGGGCTGCTATTCTGCTTGTAGCAAACCTAGACCAGTAGTGCTCTGGATGGCAGGCTCCATCGTGCACGCTGTTGAATCAGTTGTGTCACAGAGGCTGGGCAGGTTCCAAGTGCCAAGTTTACCCAGCTTCATGCAAACCACATTGCTGAGAGCCAGGGAGGGGTTGCTCCCCAGAGGAAAATGAGAAGGCTCTCGTAGAAGAATGGGGAGTGACTGTTTGGCCGGAACTGCACATGCCCCTCCTGGGTTGTGGCTTTGCAGGATCGCTGCTCTTTCTGGCTTTGTCCATATGTGGAGACATTTTTGTGGTTGTAATCATAGTATTTGTATGTTTAAAATTCATTTTTCACTTGAAACTGTTGGAAACATTCTTTTAAGTCACTGTGTAGTCTCCATGGCCATTTTTAATGGCTCTGTGCTGTTCCATCACTAGATAAAAGCAATCCTAATATACCTGCCCATTAACTGTTACTGAACATCATTGATGATTTTGGATTTTGATTCTTCTAGATAAGTCTGCGGTGATTACATTTGTGGATTGGTATTAATTTCCCAGCAGTGAGCTTATTCTATAAAGGCTTGAATATTAATTATGGAGTCTGACCTTTACTGTCTTTTTTTTTTTTTTAAGGTTTATGTTATCTATTTGAAAGAGAGAGAGAGATTTTCCATCCACTGGTTCAGTCTCCGAATGGCTGTAACAGTCAGGGCTTGGTTAGGCTGAAGTCAAGAGTCAGGAGCTTCTTCCAGGTCTTCTGCATGGGGGCGGTGGTCCAGGTACTGGGAGAATCCTCCACTGCTTTCCCAGGTGCATTAAGAGGAAGCTGGATTGGAAGTAGAACAGCTATGACACGAACTCGTGCCCATATGGGATGCTGGTGCTGCAGGCAATGACTTAACCCGATACTCCACCAGGCTAACCCAACCCCTGCGATTTTTTCCCTAAGTTGGGTCAGTGTTTGTTGTCCTCAGCCTTGCATCCGGGTGTGCATATTTACATATTTATGCATATTTACATGTAAATTTACATGTAAATTTACATGTAAATATGCATATTTACATATTTGATAGGTACAGCATGGACATTTTATTATGCTTGGTTTTGCCTTCATATGATTGGTTGTTTTGTTGTTGGTATATGTTTGCTTATTTTTAAAGGTTTTATTTTTTTTTAACAGAATTTTAGCAAAGCATTTTGCCTGTGACTCAGAGGTAGAGTGTTTTAAGTGGGAATGTCTGAGTTTTTAAAATATGCTTTCAGTTTTTATTTCAAAGACAAAATGAGAAGTCTTCTATCTGCTGGTTCACTCCCTGGGGTTAGGCTAGGCGGAAGCCAGGATCCCAGTACTCCTTCCATGTGAATGCAGCCACATGAGCCCGGGGACCCTGTGATGGGATGTGGGCATTACCCCTGGATTCCCTGCTTCTATGAGAGGACGTTATCGCTGCCAAAGCTGTTGGTTAATGTCGGCATTGATAGGTAAACTGCCAGATGTGGGTTAGTCACGCACTGCTGGACTCGGGGTTTGCGTCCCTTCTCCTACTGGAGGTGACAGCTTCCTGCAGAGTGATTCTCAAGTAGTGGCTGGGCAGGTGTAGGTTGAGCTCGCAATCTCTGGGAGGATGGGGACCAAGGACACTGGCAGCACTGGGGGACTCCTGGGAAGGCAGCAAGGCGATGGGAGGACAGGCCTGGAAAGCAGATTTTTCACGCCTTCCTGAGACAGGCTCACCAGGCTTCCTGGGTCGCGGTGCAGCCTGGTGTGTGCAGCCGGCAGGAGAGCACTCAGTAATTACTCTCCCGGTGCGTGAGGTGCCCTGACTACTGCCACACATATGGCTGTCACACAGAATCATGGTGATTTGTTCTCGCCTGAATTTGCAAGCCAGACTGAATGTCACTTTTATATATAAAACTTACATTTTTCTCCAGCTGTATTTGATGGCCTAGGATGAACTATATGGTCCCAGCTTCTTAACAGCAAGCACCAAGCAGGGCTGGACTTTGTTCTTGTGAGCCAGGATTCACCTCTGCTGCTGTGCAGTGGGTACAGCCTGGTACTGCGCACGTTTGAGGCGGAGGGCTGTCTGCGTCAGCACTCAGCGGCCCTGGGATCTGCTGCTTAGTTTGTGTATTTGTGTTTGTGGTTCTGTCCCCTCTGCCATCGTCTGTCACCTCAGCCTTCCTGCAGCATTACTACTGCTCACTGTGCCTCCCTCCTAAGTATTTCTAGACGATTCTCTTGAGAGCTGCATCCGAAGGAAAGAATAGGAGCCGGTGCTGTGGTAGAGAGAACGAAGCTGCTGTCTGCAGTGTCGCCGTCCCACGTCAGTGTTAGTTTTGAGTCTCTGCTGCTCCGCTTCTGGTGTGGTCCCCGACCTCGGAAAGCAGCAGCAGGTGGCTAAAGGATGGCAGAGCTGGCTGGAATTCCAGGTTCCTAGCGTCAACCTTGCCCAGCCCTGGCCTGTATAGCCACTTGGGAAGTAAACCAGCAGATGTATGACCTGTCTCTCCTTTTGTTCCTCCTGCTCTCTCTGTCACTCTGCCTTTCAGATCATAAAAATAAGGAATAAACAGGTCCAGTTGACGAATTCCCACAGAGTGAAACCTAGGTCACAGTCTTCCCTGTTGGTGCCGAAAAGATCATATTTCATGTTTCAGATCTTGTTGTACTTACTGGCCTTCAACTTCAAAGTTCTGGAGTTGTCTTGCAGGTTAAGCATATTTACCTGGAAAGCTTTTAGAAAACAGGTCCACATGTCTGAGATCTGTGTTTGCTTCTTTCTCTACTCTTCTGGTTTTCTTTGCTTTGAAAGAGTCACCGAGCCCTAACGTAGCCCTCTTTATCAGGCAGATAAAGCGGCATTGCGCTGAGCCCTTTACAGAGTATTGGACCTGCATCGATTATTCCAACCTGCAGTTGTTTCGTCGCTGTCGCAAGCAGCAGGCCAAGTTTGACGAGTGTGTGCTGGACAAACTGGGATGGGTGCGTCCGGACCTGGGAGAGCTGTCCAAGGTGAGGTGGGAGTGGCTGGTGGGGAGAGGCCCATGGGGAGTGGCGGCGGGGCCTCCATGCAGATTCGTCAAATGGATCATCTGGGAAGTGATTGTACACAGTCCGGGTGGGACTGCCTTTGGGAGGAAGTTCCTTGAAAGGGCTCTTTGGCTTGTGCAGGTTTGGTTTTGGGTAATTGCCTAAGTTGATCACAGAAGGAGTAGAGGAGGGTAAGCAGAGTATCAGTGCAACACTGTCGTTTGGACCCATCCTCGAGGCCATTGTAGAGCTCAAATTCTGTGGCAAGGTAGGACCAGGGCTGCGCCAAATTTGGGGGGAGTATACTGAAGACGACGCCAAGTTGTGCCTGGAGTGAAAAGGTGTTTGCCTACTCTTTCCTGCACTTCCCGCCTTAGTATGACACGGCCATTTGTTGAAATGTCAGGGCTGGAAACCTGAATGCCGTATCCCCCTTCTCTTCTCTCTCACTTTAATTTACTATCTTGATAGGGGCAGGGAGGGCTCACTTTCCAAATGATCACAGCAACCTGGGCTGGGCCAGGCTGTGGCCAGGACCCTAGAACTTGAACCTGTGGCCGTGTGGTATGCTGGTGTCACAGGAAGCGGTTAGCCCTTCATTGTTACACTGGCCGGAAGGCTGCGACTACAGTGCAGCGCGATGGTCTCGTCTTCCTGGAATCACTGACCCACCTGGGCAGCATCACTCTGTTACTACAGCCTCAGCCCTCACCGCCCTGCGAGTAGTTTATGGAGAGCACATATACATCGGGTGCCGGACCCTCCTTCACGCTAGCAATGCTGGGAGCGCATAGCCCCACTTGACAGATGAAAAACTAAAACAGAGGAGCCCTGAATCCCTGCCGAGCCATTGTTCCATCACAGGTGCCCACTCCTAATCTTTACTGGGGGTGCTGCTAAAGAGGAGGTTGTTTGATTCCTCTTTCCTGAAAGGTTGTTCTTTGAGGGGATTCTTGTTGTGTGTTTATTTTAGAAATGGTTGAATTCCTTAGAAAAACTTCAGAAACCAGCAAGAAGCCTTTAGGATTACTTTGTAAAGAGCCAGGGTTCATTTCTGTTATGGCGGCGAGGAGATGGGAGAACTCCCTAGGAAACAAGCACACAAGCCACTCAGGACTTGAAGACTTGGGTTCCAGCTTTGAGCTGTGACTTTTCGTCTCAGGCACATCAGCCTGATGCTTGTGTGTGAGCTGCAGATAGCAATGCCACCGGGGTGCTTCCTGGACCTGTGTGATTCTGTATGTGAAAGCTCTGTGGACAGTGTACGGGTTCTGGATTTATGTCCAGGGAGCTGCTTTAGGGTGGCTGGAGCAGCAGCAGGCCGTGCGGATCACTTTGGCCTGACTGCTTCCTGGGCCTGCTGCCCTATCTGGAAAATGAGGACAGTTGCTGCTGGTTTCCATGGAGAGTCCTGGAACCGTTAGGGGATACTGCGTAACTATCTCCCATCCCACAGTGTTGTAGTTTAGTACTTCGCCACCTGACACTGCCTGCTTGCTAAGCTCCCCGAGACCAACCTTGCCCGTCTCCAGGCTGGCTGCCGCACGGTGGCCTACGGCAGTCGGTGGATTGCTTTCCTGCTTCCTTGACACCTGTTGCCATCAGGTTAAAATGGAAGCATCTACATGTTGTGCAGGACCCTTAGCCATCTGTCCCTGCTGCCAATGTGGGGCACTGTGTAAAAGCATGGGCGCTGTCCAGGTTCTCCCTGTGAGTGGGTGGCCTCAGTGGACCCCTGCCCAGGACCTCGAAGTGCGCTCAGCTAGGCACTGGTTAGGGCTTTGTCTCCCTGCACTCTGGGTGCAGCCATTGCTTCAGCTGTTCCCAAGGCGTGCGTCAGTCTTCACGCACATGGTTGGGTTCCTCGGACTGTCTTCCTCCCTAGTCTCCTTGGATGACTCCCGCTCGTCCTTTAAGTCAGCGTTGGCTCCTAGGCAGTGATCTAACCCTGGTCCCCGCAGCAGGCAGCTCCTGTGTCCTGCATGTTAGGCAATGAGGAGGACTTACCGGATGTGGCTGGCTGTCCCCCTCACTGCGCTCAGAGGCCCTGGAGGACTGTGTGTGTCTTCCTTTTTCTGTCTCTGATTTCCATATGTGGAAGGTCAAGTGTTCGGTCACGGCTTATGAGGGTCCCCATGCGATGCGCTGGGGCTTTCAGTGGAGCCATAGTTGGGACAGCAGAGGACAAGTGGGAGGCATGTGTAGCTGCAGAGGGCTTTCAGCTCTGCTTCCTCCCCTTCCGCCTTCCCAGGTCACCAAAGTAAAGACAGATCGCCCTTTACCAGAAAATCCATACCACTCCAGGGCACGGCCGGAACCCAGCCCTGCTTCGGAAGGAGACCTGAAGCCTGCCAGACACGGCAGCCGCCTTTTCTTCTGGACCATGTGAAGATGGCTCTGCGGGGTACCCGCAGTCATGCGCCCAGACGGCCACGGATGGAAACGCCCATGCCATTTGCATCGCCCGATAGCGTGTTCTTTCCGGGATCACAAACATGAACAAAAAGTTAATTTATGTGACTTGGCAGTTATTCTATATCATTTCCTGTCCATTAAAAATTTTAAAGGAAACAGTTGTATTTTATTATGTTTTTGGTAACCTTTGGGCCCTTAAAGATGACTTCCCCCTTGCTCCTCCTGGTGGTCCCGCGTGTTGCTCTCGCCTTGCTGTGAGTGGGCCGTGTGCAGGGGCGCACCCCTGGCCCGTGGGGAGACGGGAGAAGGCCTTGGTACATGAGCCTGATCCTTGCGCATGTCTGTGTTCATACTTTGAAAAAATATTTTTTTATTTTTTTTAATTTAAGATACAGAGAAAGGGAAGGAGCTCCCATCTGCTGGCTCACTCTCCAGGTGCCCACAGTGCCTAGACCAGACCCACAGCCTGGAGCAAGGAATTCAGTCCACTGCTGCCGTGTGGGTGGGTGAGCCCTCACTGCTGCCTTTCACAAGGGCTGGGCGAGGGAGCCCCGAGTCATCCTCGGGCACTCTGACGGGGGAATGTGGTCAGCTAACCACTGGGCCAAACACCCACTCTCTGTGTTCACACTTTGGAAGTCTCAGCTCTTCTGGGGTCAGGCGAGGGGAGCGTCCAGGAGAGAAGTGAAGAAACATGTGAGCTTGTGACTCAGAGCCCGGGAGGGGCTGCTGGCCGCAGCTCCTGCCGCCTTGCCGGGTCCCCGCGAGCGCAGGGCTCCCACCACTTCCCCCCCGTAGCCCATCCTCAAGCCTAGAACCCAGATGTTTTTCCTGATAGTCAAGGGAGGTGGAGGCTCAGCTCCCAGCTCCAAAGCCAGGAAGTCAGGAGGTCTGAGTGTCAATTCCAACCTTGGGTGTGTTCCTTAACCTCTGGTGAGGGGTTGAAGTTGAGGACAAACTAAAGGACACATGCTTATCTGCCTCCTGGGCAGGTTAAAGCAGCAAGTGTTTATAAAGCTCTGCTTCAAAGCACTATTATGTCATTTTCTCCCCTCCCCCATCCATTCAGTTCCTTTCTCACTACTAGGCCATTTCCTCTGCCTCTGGCTGCGTATCTTCTTAACTCCAGGTTGTGGCTTTCAATCACGCAGGACTCTGCAGAAGTCACCTCCATTCCCTGGGCCTTGGTTTCTCCTTTGCAGAGACTCCCCTCCTCCCAGTAAAGTGCTTGGACCAGAGTTTTTCTAAAGGTCTCCCACCCTTATGGGGTAACTGGCAGCAAGGCTGGCTCAAAGGGTTAGGCTTGTTGGCACTACCTCCCCCACTCCAGGCTGATCCTGCTGGTGGAAGCATTATTTTGGGTGAAACTGACTCATACCTATTTAGTTCCTCACGGACCACCTGAGCCTCGACTTCCCTACTGTAGATAAATTTTAAAACAGCTGAGGCAAAACCTTAGCCCTCCTGGTGGCCAAAGCACTGCGGGTCATCTCTGACAGTGAGGTGTGAGTCCTGGCTGCAGGTGGGCACTGGTGTGATCCTCTGAGCCCCAGGTTGCTTTGTCCACTCAGACTGCCAAGGAAGCAAGGCCTGGCATCAGTAAGGGACGCTCCGCACTGTGCTGAGTGCTTTAGGCAAGCCCAGCCCTGCAACAGTGGGAGCCCTGTGATGGACAGCGCCGCGTGTCCTGCCCATTTCTCAGGGCACGGGTGGGGCGCTCCTGGCTCATGCATGATAAGCCTGGGAAGCACGGGAAAACTGGCTCCAGGGTGACGCGTGTCCTTACAGCTGTCGGTGAGTCTCAGCCTTGGATGCATGCTGGAACCACCTGGGGACCTTTATAGCGAGAAGTATGGATCCCACGGCCGGATTCTGGTGTGTGCTCTGTGGCGCGGCTGGGTGGGGAGCTTCTGAAAGCTCCCCAGGCTGTTTAAGGGTGAGTCCCAAGTCTAGGACCGAGAGTTGAGGGTGTGCAGGTCAGAGGCCTGTCAGAATCACATATGAAGTGGCCAAGCTGATTTAAATCCATCTGACTCCAAAGCCCATAAGCTTACTATAAACAAGTTCTAGAAATTACCCAGAGAGCTTAGCGAAGGTTTTGCTTCAACAGGTTGAAAGTAGGACCTGAGATTTCTTCGTTTTTCAAACTTCTAATTTCAGTAGCTTTAAACTGACACAATGAAAATAGACCCACACTCAGCTTCCCCTGTTATAACATCTCAGGTTATGTGTATTTGTCACAAGTAACAGACCATTTCCATTTTCTCTAACTCCCCTTAGTCTAAACTTCCTCTATCCCTCCTGCCCCTCTCAGCCTCCACCAACCACTGTTCTTTGCTCAGATTGGTTTTTTTTATTTTTTAAACAGCTTCCCTATAAGAGAGAACAGGTGATATTTTTCTGTATCTGGCTCATGTCAGTTAACATGATTGTTTCAGTTTCATCCCTTTTGCTGCAAATGACAGAATTTCATTCCTTTTTCATGGCTGAGTAATATTCCTTCGTGTACCTATACCACATTTTCTTTATCCTTCCGTCTGATGGACACTGTGGTTGACTCCATATCTTGGCTGTTTGGGGCAGTGCTATGGTAAGCATGGGTCAACAGGTATCTCTTGGGTACAGTGGTTTCATGTCTTGGGTATTGCTGGATCATACGGCAAATCTCACCATCCTGTTTGCCACAGAGGCTGCATTTTTCCTTCATATGTTGAAGTATAAAAAGAATGTATATTGACATTACAAAGGCATAGACAATAAGGTACTGAATGGGGAGAGGTGGGAAGCACCTCCTCTCACATCTAGGATAGGACGCATGAGCTTCCGGGTGCTGAGGCTGCAGGTGGAGAGACCACGCTGGGCGACCAGCACCCATGCTGTTGGGAGCTGCTTTACCTACCCGTGCAGCTTCTGGCACCGGTTACTCCCCAAAGGCTAAATCACCTCTTTGGAATTAGAGCACAGCATCCTGAATTGTTAATGGCCTCAAATTCAATTGTAGGATGTTGCAACTTTTGCCCAAGTTGGAAGTGGTTCTTGCCTTCCCCCTTCTCACCTTGACTTGGATTTCTTGAACAAAGACACTCACTTTCGGCTTTCCTGTCCTCTTAATGGAATGACACCCTAACCGTCAAGGACAGAGGGTCTGTGTGATTTTTTTTCTTGAACCTCTTTCTACAAACCTACATTTCCATGTTAGTGGGTAAAAGGTCACAGAACAACTTGGAAGCTGCTAGGGCCAAGGGTTCCTCAGCAGAGTTTCAAATAATAGTCAGAACATCTCCCAGCAAGTCTGATTTGAGCATAAAGAAACTAATTGGTTACATCCCCAAAGGAAATGTATCTGTCGCGGTGCCCCGCCAAGGCTGTTCCTGCCTGGCCTATCAGAGCCGGCCCTATCTCCATCCTTCCAAGTGTCAAAACAAGAGATGCATTTTGAGCTCCTTCCGCTCCTCTCTCTCCAAGCTCCCATCCTGGAGACCTGCTGAGTTTCTTCTATAATCTCTCACTTCCTCTTTTATCACCCGGTCCCCACCTAGGATGCTGTCGCTCCCTTCTCCTGGATTATTCAAACCTATCTCGCTGTGATCCGTTCCTCCCAGAGGCTGCTGTCCAACTTTGCTGCCTGGGCCTCTGCCTGCTGTCCAGGGGCTCCCAGATGGCTCCTAACTCAAGCCCCAGTCCCTCCAGAATCTGACCCGGCTATCTCATGCCCCGGCCTAATCTCTCCGCACCACTTTCTGGTTTCTGAATCTGTAACCTACATACTACAAAATGCCATCTGCCTACAGGAGCACTTTGCAATTGTAACCCTACTGAGATCATCTGCTCCCATCCCTGACCCCAGAGGAGTCTGCTCATCCCTCAAGCATGCCCAGAAGCGTCCCTGACCATAGCTGGAAGTTGGTGCTTTCTGCCCCCTTTGTTCCATGACACAATCTGGCATGATGGTTGGACACAAGAGTTTCATGACTGGGCTGTTTGATTTGGAACCCGGGGTCTGTCGTTTATCTTTTTGTGCCTTATTTTTCTCATCTGTACAGAGGCCTCCTTGGATGGTTCACCACACATGGGAATACATAGTACAGAATGGGTGAACAGTGGTGCATGTACAAAACTCTTCTCATTACACCTGTCACAGCAGTGTGTGAATTAGCTGCTCTGGTCTTGGTGCTGTGTAATCAAGGGTTCTATCCAACTTGTAGTTCTCTATCCTGGTACCCAGGATGGGAGTGACATCCAGGAAATGATTAACTGCACACCAGGCTTTCCCAGGCACTTCCACTCATTCCTGAGACAGAGCCACGACCTAACAAACCCCTTCTGTGTAGAAATAGGGATCAAATTGTGGTAACACTGCTCTGGGTAGATTAAAGGTAGATTCCCAGGCCCTGGAGTGGATGATGGCATACTCTTGAAAGCTGCTTCTGTCACATATAACATTTCTGCTTGGCACTGGAAAGTCTTTGTGTGTCTTAATGACTCTGTAAGGCAAAGCACAAGTAGTTGGTTTTAAGAAGGAATTGAAGGCCTGGCGCGATAGAGCAGTAGTTAAAGTCCTCACCTTGAATGCCCGGGATCCCATATAGGCGCCGGTTCTAATCCCAGTGGCCCCGCTTCCCATCCAGCTCCCTGCCTGTGGCCTGGGAAAGCAGTCGAGGACGGCCCAAAGCTTTGGGACTTTGTACCTGCCTGGGATACCTGGAAGAAGCTCCTGCCTCGGACTGGCTCAGCTCCAGCCATTCCAGCCATTTGGGGAGTAAATTATCGGACAGAGTATTTTCCTCTCTGTCTCTCCTCCTCTCTATCTATCCGCCTACATGTATATATATATATATATATATAATTGGAAAGGCGGATATACATATATATATATAATGAAGGTATTGGACCTTGCAAAATATTCACTTGTAAGCCAAGAAATCAGCTTTGGGATTGGGATAGCCACTCAACAGGCTAATCCTGTGCCAGCAGCACTGGCATCCATATGGGTACAAGTTGTAGTTCTGGATTCTCCACTTGGAATCCAGCTCCCTGCTAATCACATGGGAAAGTGATCAGAGGATGGCCCAAGTCCTTGGGACCCTGCATCTACATGGGAGATCTAGAGGAAGCTCCTGGCTGCTGGCTTCAGATGGGCTCAGCTCTGGCTGTTG